TTCGATTTTCGATACTGATTTACTCTTTCATTGCTCTATCATTGCTCTTTCATTGCTCTATAAGAAAAGGAAAAATTGATACGATTCGTTCATTTATCCGCGTTAATTTTTTTTTTATTATATATAAGTGGTCCATGGGACGATTAAATATTCGAATACATGTTGCCGTGTCAAAGTCTCCTATATAATAAACGATTTGACACGTCTGGAGACGCATGATGTATCATTGCCCGCATCCCATTCCCTTCGTCCTGTTTTCCTGTATAAAATGTCGAATTGAAACGTATTAAAAGGTATCGACATTTTGAATATGTCTGAATTCTGAATCTTTTTGACCCGAAGAAAAGAATTGAAAAGTATTAGTTTCCATTAAATTTTACTGCGCTAAATGCGAGACGGTCTCTTTCGCGCGGGTGCCTCACCAGGGAAATTTCTCTGGTACGCTAAATCCCATAAGGCCATCAGTCTTTGTAATATATCTCGTCGGTGCATAAGGTTTATATTACCTGTACATACATATTTTGAAACATTTTCTTTGGATATTATATCAAACGGATTTTGCGTGTCACGTAATATCCTTCGGACTACACGGACATTATTATTTTGATCATTTTGATTTCTTTGGTATTCACTGAATTATCCAGAACGCAACTGCCATGTTGAACGACTCAATTGTCGTGTGAAATGTTTCGATTTTCACAAATTCATATAAAATTTTTCATTTTTTACTGATTCACAGAAATCTCACTTTTTATTAGTTCCCGCTAGGGAAAAGATTCATGATCGCTGCCCCGAGCAACTGCAACGCTTTTCGAATCATCTATGTCGGCGCGCTTTTACTCTTCAGATTTCTGTCATTAATAACTCGATAATTATTGCGAATCTCGCAAAATGGTATGGGACTTTTATGTTTGTCTCAACTCAATCTACCCTCACACTTCGAGTTGGCAGCTAATTATCGGACATTTCGTATGATCTTCATGATATTAATCATATACAATGTCAATTCTTTTTTTTGTATATGTTAACATGTTAATTCATGTTATAAACGCGTAACAATGTGCGAGACCGTGCTTGTCAAGTACTTTGTCAAGCTATTATGGTTGTAGCACGGACATAAACCGCCTAAAAATGGATGTAGCATCGACTGCCACCACATACAGGTTTTACCGCCGAAACCTGAAAGTGAATGTAGCATCATAGTTCCCCTCTCAAAATGGATGCAGAGGACGCCCTTTCCCAGTGCGGAAAGTCGGTGTCGTCGAGAAAACACCGTGTTGGCCGCTCTCACGTCCCTCTCTGATGCAACCTTTATCAACATCACTAGCGCGCCATCTCGCGTCGCGAGACTTTGCACTACTTTAGTCAGTGTCGGCAATACCTCGGTCGGTAATATAGCGGTCGTACTTGTTGCAACTTTTACGTCTGAGAATCACATATATCTGTGTGTACACAGTTTAATTATTAAAATTATATACTTAATTATATAGTACATTATATAATTAATGATTTTTTACATAGCGCGCCCCACCTGATAATTGGAAATTCCAATCTTCGCAATCGTAATCGACATACACTCGGACGTAGATACATATATATGTATAAAAAAATGAGTAAATTATATGAGAGGACACATTTTGTTTATTGCAGAAAACATATGTACAATATATTAAAATACACAGAGGGTGTATATTACAGAGCGCATTATCTAATTCTTGATTTCAATAAATAATCTATGAAATATAATGCTCTGTGTTGTGATTCAAGAGAAACATCTTTTGGGTCCTCGACATATTTTAAGGCACAGTCTATGCTAGGGTTTTTTTTCTCTCTACAAGATAACAATAGTTACTCGGTGAACACAACGAAAGAGTATATAAAAGTGTTATTAAATTATTAATACAATAAAATTAATATAAATAATACCGTTCATAAGTAGAATTACCACGTATGCCTGCACTGAACTGCTCTAAAAAACGTACGCTACATTACGGGTCTATAATCGTTCATTGCAGTTTTTCTAAGATTCTCCAAGTAACATGATCCTTCCTCCTCTTACTCTCGTACGTAAATTCGATCTGTCATGGAATTTTATCTCTCAGCGCGTTTCGGGCCTTTGTACCGAAAATTCCACAACGGATCCACCTATAGTCACGAATAATAATAACGTAAGCGTTCTCGTATAAACCTCTTGATTATCCGCTATCGCCTAATGCGTAAATTAAATTTGTAATCTGGAAATGCAATGCGAAAATCAACAACAATGTGTGTTATCGGAGAAGAAGAGAACACAAGATTGAATCCTTAGAATGAAAACTCTCGCTTCAATTGTTCAACGACAAGACAGACAATCATTTAATAATCGACCGATGTTACATCCAAGCGCCACAACAAAGTGTATGTGTGTATGTGTGTATGTGTGTGCGCGCTTGGTAACGTTAATTAACGCTTTACACGAAAATAAATTGACTCGACTGCGTTTCATTTGCAAGGATATAACTTGTACTTCTCTATACAATATAATCGTATGAAACAAAAAAAGGAAGAATTCGATATTCTCTACGACTCATCATAACCAACATCATGTAAACTTGTTCATCGATTTGTTTAACGCTTTCACTTAACAATTTATACAACATTAGCCCCCTATTCTCTGCGTTGGATAGCGAGATAACTCTATACACACAAAGGCCTTGCATGGATATGTTAAGTTTCCAAACTAGGTCCGGTACTAATCGTCCTCGAGATATATCCAGAGTTAATCCGACTAAAACGATTTGATTTGCCTACAAATTTTCACTAAAGTTATCTTACGTTTTTACGCCCTAATAAAGTAGATAAAAATGTTTAATCCGGAGATCTCTACTTTCTACACATGGAAAAGAGAATTTATGTACACTGTACATCTAAAGTTTTCGTAACTGTATAATATTTGCATGATGATAATAATAATAATTAATAATAATAATAATAATAATAATAATAATAATATTAATGAACTGTAACGATAACTGTACACTCTCCTCTTCTTCAACAATTGGCTTTGCTTATTACTTTACTCGTTATTGTATCAGTTCTCTACTAGAATGGAGGGATTGTAGTCGTAATATTAGTATGGCTTTGTTGTAGTTGCGTTGACATACGAGATTTTCCGAGTGTTAGTGATTTTCGCAATTAGTCGCGCTCTCGCAACCTTGTCAGCGTATCGTAAATCGCTCTGTAGCACACGACGAATACACAATATAGAATCGATATTTTCACGTGAGATTTAACGAACTAATTCTTCCTCTACATTCGCTATCATATATCCTCACATTTGTTGCCAGAGACTTCAGACACTTCGATGATACTTTACTTAAATAATTACAAGTTACCGCAACAGAAGCAAGATATTGTCCGAATGTTTTTTCCTTTTCTTTTTTTTAGACCTGCTTTAAAAACAAATCAGCACGAGAATCTGAATGTTTTACATGTGCACGCGCGAGTGTATTGATATAGAGAATTGGTACTTCAGTTTGATGTCGACATTATGTACAGCATTATGTACCCGGTGTTGATCTTTTTCCAGAGATGAAGCGATAATTGCCATCAGTTGCAACAATCATTATCTATGATTGCCCAATTATAGACAAGAGTTTAGCTCTTTAATAAATGCTGAAAAAATATGTATCCTAAAAAGATTTGAACGTCACAAATTAACCGTAGACAATAATCCTTCCGCGAGAAATTTTCAGCTTAGGTTACGACGAATGCTGATTATACGCTATCACAGGAAATCGATCAGATATTCATTTAACATACGACCAATTATAACAGCATCATACAACGAATGGTGAACAAAAGCAAAACGTCATCAAAGTAATATCCATCGACAGTTTTCAACCGTAAGATCTTTCATGTGTTGCCTACAAGGTTCTCTCATTGTTAATCGTTAGCAGATCTAATATTTCTTTGTGTACAGCATTTCTGGGTTTATGTGAGAGTGCATGTAGAGTAACTAGCAAAATATCAGAGTTGAAACCGATGTGTGTATGTGTTTGGGTGTGTGTGTGTGTGTGTGTAATCAAACAAATTTAGATTCAAACTCTTCCAAAGGAGGTACGAAGAGAACTTGGAGCGATAAATGCAGAAAAAAACACTCACTGATATTTAGGCCTGTGAGCAAATTTTACAATTTCGCGATTTACGCACTATCTAAATTTCTTTCTCGTATATATCGATTAGATTAGTTTGCGTGATATTACAGCAATATTTTTGTTTCAAAATGAAAACTTTTACTTTTCAAAAAATAATCAAAGATTATTATATTTCAATATTAATGGATGATTTATTTTTCAACTGTCTTTTGTATGTTTGTTATACGATATATATGCCATAAATATCGACTACTAAAGAGCTGTGTAATTAACACACGAATAATTCCATTAAAAATCAACAGAATTATGTGTGTGTGTGTGTGTGTACATTGTATCGCGTGTGCGTGAAAGGTAACGATAATTATACTCAATTACGCTAATTTCTTTTCGTAGTAGTACAATAATAATCGTTATTGCATAAACCTAGCATTGAGTTTGTAATTAGCGAGAACTCGTCTTTCCAGAGAATGAGATTACAAATTGTGCAATTAATAACACAGCCGGTGTCATATTAATGCACATACATCTCCAACGTATCGAAATGAGGTGAGAATAAATAAATAAATAGTAGAGATTTCTGCGGTGACAAGATGTTACGTTCTGCACAACGTGGTAACAAACCGAAAAGGTACATTAAAATTATATATTCCCTCTCACGGCTCTCCGGTGTATGCGACATCCAAGAAATGAATTGAAGCGACTCATCGTGAAATGCAGAGACATAACAAAGAGGACTGCCCCAAGCAGCAAAGTCATTAATTTTTACACGAAATAATCCTACGTCTATAGAGATAAAAAAAGGACAGCTCTGCCTGAGCGAAGAGAAGGCGATGGCTGCGTAGTTAAAAAGGAAAAAAAAAAAAAAAAAAATCAATATATAAAATCTTCTCGTCGAGAATCTTTCTGTTTTAAAAAATTTATAGGAACGTACAACTCTCTTGTATCTTTACATCGTAGATAAATTAATGATTGCCACGCTCGCTCATTGAGTTACAAGATATGTCAAGGGCGTCGTCTTTTAATCGTCTCGTCAACGTACATTCGTCTAACATTCTAGTGTTATCATAATTACTGAATTTCTGCGACAATGTACCTGACAGATTAATACCATCCGCTGTTAATAAACTGGTACTATCCAGCCTTTTGTGATTCTCCATATTCTCGTTACCGTTCTTCTCCGACTTATCAGATCTTAATGTATTATTTAAACTATGATCGAATTTCTTGAGATCATTTTGGATACTCCTAATAGTATCGGCATTGTTTTCGTATGATCGCAACAAGTTGTTTTCGTTTTCGTACCTACGATTGATAGAGTCAGAATCAAGATACTTCCTGAATGTATCGTCGTATCTCTGGCTGTCGACGATTTTCTTCGAATATCCCGTATCGTAATGTTCCGTCTCTATGCCTCGTTGATTTAGACCGTCCATCTCGTATGACCGCTTCGTTAACTGATTATCGAATCCTGCTCTACTAGCTAAGTGGAGGTAGTTGTCATCACCAATGGGAGCTTGTCTGCAAGGACAAAACATCACAAATATTTCATACGTGCGAATAATAAGAAAATTAAAAGCCGCTGATAAACCGCTGAGCTCAACACCGACGGAAACAGGACAAAGCTAACAAGAATGTACGAAGTATATTTGTCGACAGAATAACATCTTGCAAATTTGTACGCGCTTTACACATGTCCTGAAGCACAAGTTCTACGTACTTGCTGCCATATTTGGTGTCGCGTGCCAGTCTTCTCAAGTAGGCTCTGTGTTCGTGCTCCAACGCGTACGCGGCTTCTCTTAATGCGTTTAAAGTCTTGAAACAAGAAGGTACATCTTCGATAGGCGAACCTCCGTCAGGTATAACACACATATCACTAGCACCATAAACCGCCTGGCATTCACATGCACTCATCAATGTCTCAAGGCGCGGCATATTAGTGAAGATTAACGAGTGTATCCTCTGCAAGTCGCGATCCGGATCCAGGACCATTCGTAACCCAGCTTCTACGCCCGGTGATACCTCACTGCACCCTGGTGCAATCTCAGCAACTGCCCGGCAACTAAATATTTACGGAGACTTCGATTAGACTAGAAACAATTGTTACTACTTCCGATCTCTCCCGTACACTCTTTACACAATCACTCACCAAAGCCAGTGACCATTAATGTACGCGCTTGGGTGGTACTTTTCCAAGCGGTTGCTGTTGGTTTGACAGATTTTCGTAAGAATGTCGATCCATTCCTTCTCCTCCACACAATTGCCAGCCTGAACGTACAATGCTCTTTGTGGTTGAACAATTTGGAACATATTCTTCATCTTGAAGGAATCCTCGTGAAGTCTTTCCACCGCTAAAATTTCCTCTAGTGGTATCTTACACAAAGGTTCTTTACCTGCGAGTCGCAAATTGCGTGTTTCATAAACGTTTATCCCCTTGAGAGAGAAAGAGAGAGAGAAAATACATCACATATGGCGCGAAGAATGTTTACCTTTCGTTTTAGAATACGTCAGATCTTGTGTAGTGAGTCTAAAATATCTCTGCTTGAAATTCTTGCGACCGAATCGCTTTCTACCTTGTGCCCTCTTAATCATTACTCTGCAAAGAGAGAATAGTAGCAATTAATAATCTTTGGAGGGAAAGATTGTACGTCAACAGACAGATGCGAGTTTGATTCTTTATCACCAACCTCTTATCGCAATCAGCGGTATGCATAAAGAGAAAGTATATTCTATTAGAAATACATAAGATTTGTTTAATAATTTGTATAACATTATGTAATTTTAGTATTATATCCTTAAACACCGGATGAAAACGAAACAATTTTCCCGCATAATTAATTTAAACAGGTACTAGGTAAAAAGATCCGAAAGTGTCGACTCTGATGTTACGATTTTTCATGTATCATTGAGTGAGTGAACGTAACGAAACGAAAGTGAAAGAAACGGGGGAATAAACGTACCCTTCTTTGAGTACCACTGGTTGCTCCTGCAACATCGTTGGTCGTTGCCGCGTGACACCGCTACTGTTACTACTGGTTGATATTAACTCCAGAAATTGCTTAACAGCTTGAATATGTTTCTCAGTGTAAAATTCTCTGCAAAAGATAATTACATACGTGACAAAAACCACTGCGTTTGCAGTTTAAATTCCCCTCAACTCTCCAAAAGTTCTCTCGAGCTTTACCTATACACGCACTCCATGTACTCTTCTTTGCAAACGCTACCCGCGCCTCCTCTACAAGACACCAAGTTCCCAAGGCTCTGAATTGTTTTAGATATTAGTGTTAATGTTCTATTAGTTTGCGAATCCTGCGATAACAGACACAATGCCACATGTAAATTCAAAAACGGAAAGAAACGTCATGTAAACAGTGCGTTCTTTATACATACCACTCTTGCTCGATTACTCACAATTTGTTCAGTAGTAATATCAAATAATCTTGGACCCAATATCGCAGGAGCGAAAAATCGTAGAAAAATAAATCCGCTGATCACCGAGTACCTCACCTCCTTGTTCTTCGGAAAGTGAGTCGCGGCGAGTTCTCTTAAGCACCAGAACATTTCGCACATCAAAGGCGGACATCTTACTCCCGACGTTGTTATGGCCGTAAATACTCTCTCAACGTATTCCTGTTGTCGGAGAAAAGACACAGCTATCTCAGTATGCTCGCGGTTACCATGCCGCTTTGAAAAATGACAAGACATTTACAGTATCGATACCTTTAAATTCGTCAAGTTCGTCTCGATGGTATTGCCATCCTTCACCCGAGTCGGGTCTATTTCGCATGGCCTCTTTTCGAGGAAGACTTGTTCCATTGCAGGTCTAAGAGTACTATGCAGGTAATGAAGACCCGCTAATCTCATGCCTTCGTCCATCATTTTGCTCACTAATGTATTACCACGAAAAATTGTTGTTGGGTCACTGAAAGAAGAAGAAGAGATGGAAATTGACTCGCCTCGTAATCACCGTCGAGACCCGCGTGTCCAAGTTAAAGCAAACACCGTCTCGTTACTTACGTCAATTTAGAAATCTCATGACTAGCAAGCGCTCGCATTACAGACACCAGTTGTCCATGATGCACCAATACTCTAACTAACGGTTGCGCAGCTTCCATTTTACTAGCTACAATTTCACCCAGTATGTAAACAGCCGACGATGTTATGGGCTGAATGTTGACACTCTGCAGCAGTAGAATCCTGAGTCTGTCATACTTTTCAGATGGAAAGACATGATCAGCTGTATAGTGTATCTTCAAACGTAACGATCCCAAACCCGGTAATGTACCAGGTGGTGTTGAATTGCTTGAAATTTTACTTGGACGATGTTTCGCTGCTCTGGGTTGTAAAAAATACCTGTGCACACAAACACCGTGATATAGCGCGTGTAAAATCAAGACGCTTGGATTCACGATTAAGGAAAGCTCTCAAGCTCATCATTGGTCTTCCTTGGTGGTGTTTCGAAAGTACGCAAGTTGTCCGGATGATTCACGATATAATGAAAAATTCAGAGGCAACAGAAGAGCGTACCATGCGGTTGTTGTACTGGTTGGTTGCCTTTGTAACCCTCTCAGGGTAACCCGTACTTCACCGAGAAATACCGATTGCTCTCCCATACCGGGAGATGCGTGCCACAGACCAACAACCACTTCTCCAACCTCGGCTCCTTCGATAGAATAATGAGAGACATCCTTGTCCTTGGTCTCTGTCAACTCCGGCTGGTACAACAGCGAGAAAAAACGTTTACGTATGCTCTGCGTATGAAAGAAAAAGGTAAAAGTCGTGTGTACGCTTACCTCAAACACGAACGTTTCGTTAAACTGTGGTGACGACGTCTTCTTTTTAACTTTTGTGCGTTTTGATATTTGCTTACCATTGCTATAGATGACTGTAACAGTTGCAAAGGGATCACAGCTACCATTTTTAATGGTTAGTTCACTACATTCTATTATTCTGCAATGTATAAAAAATGTTGTCAGAATGTAATATTGTCTTCTAATCTTACACGCATACAGATTGAATATACATGGGAATACCAATCTCATTGTTGCTTACCTTACTGTAAGTTTAGGCTGAGCATGTTCTACTTGAGGTTGCAAAGCTAGTTCCAAATGTGCTTTGCCTTGGACTTCAGAATCAGCGTCAACTGGCTTCAAAGGAAACCAATGCTCTTTGTTATGATATGTTGCTAAATCCTCTCTCTTTATTGCTACCTTCCCCAAAATCTTATCCTGCTTTAAATGTCTATCCCGATCGTACACGTAAATGCCAAGGTAACGAAATTTTCTGGGTACTTCAAACTGAAACTCCTCTCCAAAGAATGGGCTGTACAGGAGTGAGAGAGAGAGAGAGAGAGATGCAAAAAATTTACTCACAAAATTTCACCTCACAAGGCTGGCATAAATTCTACGAGAGAAAGAAACTTACTTGAGGGTTCTCTCCATAGTCGTCGTTCTGAATATTTCCTCCTGGTCAAGCGACAACGCACAGTATACATCTCGTGTACCTGGAGATCCATGACTCCGACTCTGAAGGTTTTTTGCTTCTCCTGCAAATGACCAGTATCATGTAATCGCGGATATTGATGAAGAAAATAATTTTGTGATGTCATGTCACAAGAGGCACTTTAAGGTGAGTCAGGACGAAGGACAAAAATCATCATACATCCCCATATTCTTCCAATTTGCAAAAAAAAGAAAGAAAAAACTGCCGTCTCATGTGGCATCAGAGAAAGTCCATCAAAATAGAGAACAGACGTCATCAATCTTGTATCAATCAATGGCTGCCATTTTTAGCATACATTAGGTAACTTGAATGGAATCACTCCTCACTGAGTCATTGATTGCCAATACCGATTATTGTTATGCAAGACAATACAACTTCATTCATTCTATATCTATTAATTAGTCATTGCATCTTGGCTGCACTCGACACTGTTCACCCCGACCCTCAGCAGCGAGCTGACTCTTTTGCCGTTCTCCATAAATTGTCTCAGGACGGTCTCCCGAATCCACCTACCAATCTATCCCGAGCAGTGAAAGTCGAGACTCTCGCGCGTCGTTAGCGTTAATTAAACAAGCATTATTTACGAGCCAACTGGGATCGTTCCACGCGAGATGGAACGGAAACGAGAATTGTTCGCCGGACACGAGATTCGCGTGGTAATTTCGCAGACGCGGGGAGCGCGTTAACGAGCACACCGAAGGAGAGCACTCTTTCTCGGCGATGAGATTCGGGCCGATTCTCGGATCGTCGTCGTCGTCGTCGTCGTCGTCGTCATCATCGTCATCGTCGTCGTCGTCGTCGTCGTCGGCGCAGCGCGAAACGCGCGACTCACGTCGGGCCCCCGGGTGCGAGATAAGATCCGTACGTGCGCGCGTCCGGTGCGAGCCGTTTCGGGATTTTCGCTGCACATCCGCTCGCGATCGCAATTTTCTCACCGTCCGGTCCGTACGACCGTCGTCGCGGCAAACACGCGCAAGCACGCACGCACGCACACATTTCTCCACGCACGGACCTCTGCGCGCACACACACACACACACACGCACACGCACGCACGCACGTATACACACGTAGGAGGACAACGACGCGTGGGAGTCGAGAATGTACGCGTCGATCACTGGGCCGAATTTCGCACGGGGAAAAAACGACGACGACGGGGCCGACGTCGATCGGCCGATCGCCGCGGGTCGCGCCGACACGCTCGTCGTCGCGTACGCGCGACCACGACGGACGGGCGTCGTTCGCGGGGCCCCGTTTCCGCGGAGCGCAGGAAAGGTGGACACGATCGTGGGAGTCGAATTAGGTGACATCCTGAGAGCGCGCACGGGCGAGACCCGCTCTCTCGCGCGATCGCGTCCCGGCGCGTGTTCCCGCGGGATCCGCTGCGACGGCGAACGCGTCACACGCACACGCATCGGCCGCGGCGGTGCCGCACGCGTAAATCTCCCTACCGATTTTGATCTTTAGCCTCTCTTCAACGCGGACTAGGCGCGTCTCCTCGGCCATGTTACCTCCATGACACTACTGAGTGACTACACGAACGAAACGCAGGCGGTTCGTTCATTCTGTGAATGGGTCTGAAGCAGGAGCGTAGCGCCGCCAGCGGGCGCCCCCGCCGCCGCCGCCCCGCCCCCCCGCTCGCCTACGCTCGTCGGCGCGCTCGACGCGTCCGCGGGATCCCCTCCTATTATCACGCGATGCTGCTACTTCCTCCTTACGTCTGTCTTACTGAGCGACGCGGCGGCGATTTGCAGATGAAAATTTGCAGGGTAAAGGAGGAGGCGGCGACGGCGGAGAAAATCGCGCCGCGCGTCAGCGGGCGCGATTTTCGGACGCGGATTTTTTCCCGAGGGACGCGAGCAGTTTGGCGAGTCGCGAAGGAGGAGTCGTGCACGAGACGGGATGCACTCGAGGCTCTCGTATGCGTGCGTGCATGTGTGTGTGTGTGTGTTACTTTCGATCTCATTGAGGGAGCTCGATATTCGGCGCGGCTCGATTGTCAGAATGAAGAGTGCCGGCAGATTCCTCGATAATCCGGCGGTGCTGATAACACTGATGTAACCGACAGACGCAACGCTCGCGTTCGCTCGCGTGGACGATAAGCGAGGCTGGTCAATGAATCCGCTCTCGTCAATAAGCTCTTACGTCTCTGATAAGAACGCGCGATATTTCGCGATCGCGCGGATCGCGCCGCGCCGCGGCTAGGGGGAGGGGGGCGGTCGCGGCGTCTCTCTTCATTTCGGGGATGAGGTAATTCGGGGAAAAGGCACAACTCCCCCCCCGGGTAATAACGCGGTGTCATCGATCAGCAAAAATCAAAGTGGTCGTCGCGCGGAACAGCCGCGCCGCTCGGCTACGAGAGAGATCTCCTTCTCATTCTTCGGATTCACGCGCGGCTCGACGACGGCTCCCTTCGTCGTCGGCGCAGCCCTGACACACGTTCGGCCCGCGTTATCGGCGAGTTAACATCGGACGCAGGCGCGACGGCCGCCGGACGAGAGTCGACGCTCGTCCATTCATTTCCTCGGCACGGGCTCGCCCGCGCTGGATGGATCATCCGCGTGCCTGTGGCACGACGGCCGGCCGCTACGGGGTTGACATATACCCGGTGTCCGCATAATACAAACGCGCGTCACGCTTTTCTCTCTCTCTCTCTCTCTCTCTTTCTCTCTCTCTCTCTCTCTCTCTCTCCGCTCTCGGCGTGTACGCGCCATATACGCGCGCACTTACACACGTGCGCAGGGTTAAACCACCGCTCGCGCGGCCACCCCTTCGCCCCCTGCCCCCTCTCCCCGCCGCCGCGCTCTCCGTTTTTCTATGGCTCTCTCTCTCTCTCTCTCTCTCTCTCTCTCTCTTTCTTTCGCTCTCGCACGGTCTTTCCGTCTCTCTTTCGATGCTGCTGCCTGCGCTTGTATTCCCTTCTTATCTCGGTGCGTTAAGTCCGTCTGCCTGCCTGCCTGCCTGCCTGCTCGTGCACGGAGCTCGGCGAGCAGACAAGCGTGTGTGTGTTCGTTGGTGTGCCACGCCGCTCTGTGTGTGTTGGTTCACGTTGGTTAACCGTGCTCGCGTGTGTAAGTGGTGAGCCACTTCCTGATGGCGCAATGGCCCGCTTCCTCTCCCTCTTCGCTTCTCCTCGCTCTTCGCGCAGCTCCATGAGCCGCGTCGTTCTCTCTCGCTCTCTCCCTCTCACTCTCTCTCTCTCTCTCTCTCGTTCTCTCGCTTCTCTCTCTCTCTCTCTCTCTCTCTCTCTCTCTCTCGTTTCTCTTTCCGTCCGCCTCTCTCGCTGTCGCTCGTCCTCTCTTCTTCACTTTCTCTCTTCCCCCCCGGAGCTTTTTACTCCCTTGCTCGCCCTAGTGATTGATACAACTGCCGGGGAAATCAGAGGGAGTGAAAAGGCGCGAGGGGGAAAATTGAAAATCCGTCGCGCAAGATCGCGCGCGCGGTGGATCCGCGAGAGGGCCGAGTCCCTCCGAGCTGGGACGTGATCGCGAGGGACCTTCTTCCGCCGCGCTCTCGGCTCCCCGCGGGATCTCGCCGATGCGACAGGATGGCGCGCGTCCGGGATCAAAGGTGCGACGCGCGATCCGAGAGCCGAGAGCGATTTGAAGAAGAGCGCCGCGTCAGGTGTCCGAGCGCGTTCGGGGATTTTCGCGGAGCCGAGTGAAGCGTGACTCGGCGAGATTCCCACAATCTAGGCTACTGGTCCGTCGTGCGCGCGGAGAAAAATGAGAGTACCTCGGGAGCGAAGCGGGAGGAGTCGTGCGTCGTTGAGAAACGCAGGAAAGAGAGAGGACGAGAGAGAGAGAGAGAGAGAGAGAGAGGGAGAGAGAGAGAACTCGTCGCCTGTGTGAACTTGCTGCGGATTTTGCCGCGCGCACCTTTCCCCTTTGTTGCTCCGCGACGAAGAACAAGCACAAGGTTACACGCGCTGCTCCTCGCGCTCGAGTTCGACGGGGGCGAGCGTCGGTCCGTTGATCCTGCGAGCCAGGACGACGAGGGACGCCGCGCCGCGGCGAGGAGGTTCGCTGGTCGAAGGGCCGCGCGTCGATTTTTCGGGCTCGCGAGACTCATCTCCGATCGGCTCTCAGCGTCAATTACCGCTCAGCAGGCGACTGGCCAGGCTCGCGAGGACTTTCACGAGGATTTCCCACGTGGACGCGGCGCTCGCGTAATTAGCTAGGAAATCGAGACCGCTCGTTCCTCGCGAAAAGCCGAGGAGGTAAATGACGGGCTTTCGCTTGCGCGTCGCGCGAGCGCTCGCGCTCGCGTCCGCGTGCGCGTGGATTCCCACGCGGATCAGCTCGAGAGTGATGCAATCCGGCTCCTGGTGCGATACACCCCGCCGCGTCGTCCCTGCGAAATCAATTCCGACGAGTCGCGCGCGTCATTGCGAGTTACGCTCTCGAGATCGGTCGATATCGAGACTCGCCCCGTCCGCCGCGATCGGGCTCTCTCTCTCTCTCTCTCTCTCTCTCTCTCTCTCCGGCTTGCTGGATTCCCGACGCCTCTTATCGCCGGAAGCGGGACGTCTTGGGTAAATCCTCGCGCGCCGCCCGTTATCTTCGAATATCACTTACGTCCGAGCGATAACGGCGCGTCCTTCGCGTAACACTTCCGCTCCGCGACGACGAAGCCGTCGTTACATGTGCGCTCTCGCTGCACTCGGGGAGAGCCGCCTCGCGGGACGATTAAGGGTACGTCGATCGACAGAAGGACGCTTCGCGGCTGTAAAAAGCAAAGCACATGTGATGAAGGGCGGGGGGGAGGAATCGGGAGATAAAAATAGACGAGAAACAGACGAGACGTGTCGTCGAGCTGTACAATGCCGAGTCGCCGTCGGCTGATCGACCGTCGCTCCGCGCTACGAGAGCGAGAGAGCGAGAGAGAGCGAGAGAGAGAGAGAGAGAGAGAGAGAGAATCGCGCGAAATGCAAGCGATAATTGCGCATAAATGCGACGTGCGGCCGACGTGGAGCATTGCATTAGCACGGCGGTGAACGATCGAAGACTGCTCGGGTTGCCGGCTCGATCGAGCGCGAGCTCGAGCGAGGAGCGCGTGAATGGAAGCGGGCGGAGCAGTTAGAAGGAAAAAATATGAATGAAGTCGTGGTAGTGACAGTCTCGCGTGTACGCTTTGCGTTTGCTGCGCATGCGTGCCGCGACGTAACGCACGTAAGCACGTGCATCGGCCCGTTCGTGCCATTGAGCGTGAACAGAGCGTAGAATGCTCCTATGCAGGGGGACGCGATCGGCGCCGAAGGTGAAGATCGATGCGCCGAAGATCGTGCACGTGCGCGACGTGGTGCGCGGCGAGAGTGCGAGAGAATGTCCTTTCTCTCTCTTTCTCTCTCTCTCTCTCTCTCTCTCTCTCTCTCTCTCTCTCTCTCTCGTTGGCCGCGAATTCGCGCGCACGTGAGCCGACGAGTACGAGCCGCGCTTCGTTGGCGGCGGGCTCGGCCGAATGTTGTCCGGCCTATTCCTCGCTTGTTCTTGCCTCCTCCTCCTCTTCCTCCTCCTCCTCCTCTTCCTGCTGCTGCTCCTCGTCCCGCTCGTAGCAGCGAGCGTTTTATGTCTCTCGCCACGTTGACGCTCCTGGGAAAGTGGGTCCGCCCGCTCTCGGTGCTCTCTCTCTTTCTCTCTCTCTCTCTCTCTCTCTCTCTCTCTCTCCTTCGCTCTCGTCGCGCTCGATAAATTTCGAACAATCTAGCGCTGCCCGGCCCATCTGCAAACAGAGATGGCGATCTTATTAATAAGTGTATTCCGAGAGGCGCGAGGTCGCGATAACGAGCGAGTCAGCACGGCGAGCGACGAGGATGACAAGCGGCGAGAGCGCCTCCCGCGTTATCCTTCCTGTGAATGACCAGCTGATACACGCTTTGCGTTTCTCACGTGAGTCGCGATCGCTCCGCAGCCGCATCTGCACCGTACCAAGCGAGAGAGAGAGAGAGAGAGAGAGAGGCGAGTGACTCTCCGATGACTCGCAGGGAATCGCACGCGGTGCGAATACATTCGCGCTTTGTGAGCGAAAG